CTGTTACATTATAATTAATCTTGTCCAAGTCTCGATCTGCGGTGTAGTTCTTCACATGTCTGTTTAATTTAAAATAAATTAAAATTTAAAGTTATGCTGGGAATATTTGATTGCAAACAGTTGTAAGAAGTGTTCTGGGTATACGCTAATAATACTTACTTGTAAAAACCTTTTATTTCATATCATCTACTCCTAATGGTATTCATTTACTATGCATCTTTTGATTTTGGTTTGATGTCCTCTTAACAGTTGCATTGTTTTGAATGTTCTATAGCACATTTCACATTCATAAGGCCGTTCTCCAGTATGAATCAGTAAATGATACTTTAAATTTGTTGTTGTTGTGAATGTTTTATTGCATATTTCACACTCAAGAGGACTTACTCATGTATGAATGCTTAAATGAATTTTTAATGTATCCTTTGTTCTGAATGTTTTATTACATATTTCACATTTGTGAAGGCGTTCTCCAGTGTGAATCATTACGTGTCGCTTTAATGATTCTTTTGTTGTGAATGCACTATTGCATAAATCACAACCAAAAGGTCGTTCACCAGTGTGAATCATTAGATGATGGTTTAATTTTTGTTTTGATGAATATATTTTATTGCATATCAGACATTTCTGATAGCTTTCTTTCGTATGAACGTTTGCATGTTGTTTCAATTCCCTTTTTGTTTTGAATGTTTTATTGCATATTCACACTCATGGGGTCGTTCTCCCGTATGATCATTAAATGATTGTTTAATGTTTGCTTTGTTATGAATGTTTTGTTGCAAATTATACATTCGTAAGGGCGTTCAGAAGTGTGAATCATTTCATGTTGGTTTAATTCTTGTTTGATTGCGAATACCTTATCACTTTCTCCTGTGTGAACAATTTGGTGTTGTCTCAATATTCCTTTTGTTCTGAATGTATTCTTGCATATTTCACATTCGTAAGGTTGTTCACCAGCATGCATCTCTCCATGTTCAATTAATTTCTGTTTTGTTGAGAATGTTTTATTGCATATCAGACATTTCTGATAGCTTTCTTTCGTATGAACGTTTGCATGTTGTTTCAATTCCCTTTTTGTTTTGAATGTTTTATTGCATATTTCACACTCATGGGGTCGTTCTCCCGTGTGAATCATTAAATGATTGTTTAATGTTTGCTTTGTTATGAATGTTTTGTTGCAAATTATACATTCGTAAGGGCGTTCACCAGTGTGAATCATTTCATGTTGGTTTAATTCTTGTTTGATTGCGAATACCTTATCACTTTCTCCTGTGTGAACAATTTGGTGTTGTCTCAATATTTCTTTTGTTCTGAATGTATTCTTGCATATTTCACATTCGTAAGGTCCAGCATGCATCTCTCCATGTTCAATTAATTTCTGTTTTGTTGAGAATGTTTTATTGCATATTGACATTTCTGATAGCTTTCTTTCGTATGAACGTTTGCATGTTTTTTCAATTCCCTTTTTGTTTTGAATGTTTTATGGCATATTTCACACTCATGGGGCCGTTCTCCCGTGTGAATCATTAAATGATTGTTTAATGTTTGCTTTGTTATGAATGTTTTGTTGCATTAACTTCGTAAGGGTGTTCACCAGTGTGAATCATTCATGTTGGTTTAATTCTTGTTTGATTGCGAATACCTTATCACTTTCTCCTGTGTGAACAACTTGGTGTTGTCTCAATATTTCTTTTGTTCTGAATGTATTCTTGCATATTTCACATTCGTAGGGTCGTTCACCAGCATGCATCTCTCCATGTTCAATTAAGTTTTGTTTGTTGAGAATGTTTTATTGCATATTGCACATTCATGATTGCTTTCCTTTCTATGGACATAATCATGTTTTCTTAATAGATACTTTGTTTTGAATGTTTTCTTGCACATTTCACATTCATAAAGTCGTTCTCCAGTATGAATTAGTAAATGATAGTTTAATCTTGCTTTTTTTGAATGTTTTATTGCATATTTGACACTCATGAGGACGTACTCCAGTATGAATCATTAAATGAATGTTTATATTTCCTTTGTTCTGAATGTTCTATTGCATATTTGACATTTGTAAGGGCGTTCTCCAGTGTGAATCAATAAATGTTTGTTTAATGATTGTTTTTGTTGTGAATGCACTATTGCATAAATCACAACCAAAAGGTCGTTCACCAGTGTGAACCATTTCATGTTGGTTGGTTTAACTTTTGTTTGGTTGCAAAGGCCTTATTACACATTACACATTTATATTCTTTTCTCCTGTGTGGGCAACTTGGTGTTGTTTAATATACTACTTTTGTTCTGAATGTTTTCTTGCATATTTCACAGTTATAAGGTTTTTCTCCAGTGTGAATCAAATCATGTATCTGTAATGATTGTTTTGTTGAGAATGTTTTATTGCATACCTCACATTTGTAAGGGTAATTTACTTTGTGGGTTAATAAATGTTTTTGTAAAAGATGTTTTTGTGTGAATTGTTTTCTGCAAATATAACATGTATTAGAAGTTCCACCGTGCAGTAGTACGTGCTTATCTAAATTACCTATCCGTGAAAATCTTTTATTGCATGTTTTGCACTCAAAATGGCGTTCTCCGGTGGGGGTCATTTTATATTGTTTTGTGGTGAGTGTTTTATATAAGATTACTTTTACCTAAAACTTCTTCGAATGATTGGTTCGTAACCTCAGAACTACTTGTTATACTTATTTCTTCGATGGAAGGCTTAACGTCTAAAATAGGTTCATCTGTATTAATTTGCTCAACAATTTTTTCTTGTTTTATTTCATTTTTAATTGTTACCCTAGAGTTTGAAAATCCATGTAGATATATTTCTTCGTTTTCCTTCATCTACATTTATTGAATTTCTTCAGACATCCTCAAGCATTGTTGGTTCTTGTTAACGAACTAGCAATGGCTTCTTAAAAGGTTGTTTTAAATTTAAAAAGGATGCCTTTTAATTTATGTTTTTAACTAGTGAGTATTTATTAATTTATTTTTTTAAATTACAATATAATACTAACGCTAACACTTTGCTGTTATTTTATTTCTGCACAAAAAATATAATTCCATAAAACACTTTGACATTTCTGTTTAATTCTAACAGGAATTCTAACCTCGCATTTTCATGACATCAGGTTGGACAACATTACAAACATTTCAACTGTGGTTTCTTTGGGCGGCAAAATTTAAACTAGTTGGTTTGGTATTTAGCCTTGAGGCAAGTTACATGAACTTCGCGATATGTGTAAATAGTCGACTTAATCAATAAAAAATAAATTAATTTATGAGTGATTAAAAGAATTCCGAGTGGATTTATTACACACCATTGAAAAAGAATGAACACGTTAATCGGAGTATTTTCTAAAAGCAAATGTTCAAAAAACAATAATTTTTTAATTTGAATCAGTTTTCGTAGGACATTAATGATTTATTACGTTTATTAAGACCAAGTACTCTATCGTTATACCAAGTGAATCATCTAATTTTAATTTTAACAAACGTCAAAAAAATACCCCATTTTCTCAAACTTTGATGAATTTTTAAAATTAAACTACTTGTCGTAAGGCCGTAATAATTCAGTAAGTTCTATAAGACCATGGTATATATCGCCAAAAAAAAATCCATAAACATCGTCTTAATTTTTTTAACTTCCCGTAGGGTAAGTTATAGTAATCGTCCAAAAATCGAAATCAAAATTTTTTACATTTCTCGACGTTTTGAAGGTTTCTGAACATTTTGGCATACTTCAGAAAAATGGGATGTGTGTGTGTGTGGTGTGTGTGTGTGTGTGTGTGTTTTGTATGTCCGCTTTTTTTTCGACCACGTTTCGGGCGCACGGATCAACCGATTTGAATGGTTTAAAAAACATTCGATTCCTATTGATAGGGAGATGTGCTGATTAGTTTTTTGGCAAAGACAGGTCCAGCCGTTAGACGGAGATATGGAGCAAAGAGTGCAGAAAATAGAAAGCGAGTTTTTGAGGGAAGGATCAACCGATTTGAATGGTTTTAAAAAACATTCGATTCCTATTGATAGGAGATGTGCTGGTTAGTTTTTGGCAAAGGTAGCCCAGAGGTTTCGGAGATACAGAGCTAAATTAAAAAAAATGGCTGTTTTTGAGAGAACTAAGCGTCAGATTTAAATGATTCAAAGAACATTCTGCTTTTTTCAACAAAATAATTGATTTTGAAAAAAAAATTTTTTGTTTCTAATTTTTTTTTCAAAAAAATTTTTTTGTAATTTTGGATTAAAATTCAAAAAATCACCCAGCTAAGCACAGTCTAAGCGCCACTCTGGTACAAATGTTTACCCCAAGTGCGTTTAGACTGTTTGTGTACTGGAGCACTTTTCCAATTTTGGTGAAAATTATTGAAAAATGTGAAAATGCCGCCAAGCTGAGCACAGTATAAGTGAAATGTCGCACGAAATTATTTGCAAATGCGTTAAGACTGTGACTATGCGGGAGCACTTTTCAATTTTGTGGAAATTTGGCACTATTTTTTTTTGAAATTTGATTCGAAATGAAATGACGATTGTTAATGTTCTGGAGATGATAAATTGATTTATTATAATTGTTAACTTTCCGTATGGTAAGTTATAGTAATCGCACAAAAATCGAAAATGAAAATTTTTATATATCTTTACGTTTCAAAGGTTTCTGAATATATTGGCATACCTTAGAGAAAATTGATGTATGTGTGTGTATGTGTGTGTGTGTGTGGTGCGTGCATTTGTGTGTGTTCAGATACAAATTTTCGTCGACGATTTCGGAACCGGGATGAAGCAATTTGATTAATTCAAAAAACATTCGATTCGTATTGATAAGGAGACGTGCTGATTAGTTTTTGTCAAAAGCAGGTCCGTTCCGAAGATATGGGGCAAAAAGGACCAAAAACGGTAACTCAGTTTTTAAGAGAACGGAGCGTCCGATTTGTATAATTCAAAAACATTTTACTTGCATTATCAAGATGAAGATTTGATCAAATTTTCATGAAAATAGGTCTAGCGGTTTCGGAGATCTAGTAAAAAAAAGTAAAAAAAATAACATTTGGCGGTCAACAATAATCATTAGACATTAGACATATGCACATCAAATTATAAGATATTTTATAGAGATTTTAACAATAAGTATAAATTTTGTTTACATTCCCATGGGTTCCGTACCAATGCTTATCCATTAGACAAAGACGCGGCGCTTACGCGCTTTATATTTCGTCTCTATGCAGTTAAAGCAGTACGATTGCTTTGAAAAAAAGTTCAGAATTTCCAAAATATGTCAAAATAAAGAAAATATTTTTTTCTTTCAAAAAAGTAAAAATTTTGGTACGGGAAGTTCCAGCAATTTGCCTTAAGGCACGATGCCATGCGCCCCACTAGTTTTTCAACAGTTAATTACAAGAAAACGGCTCGGTAGATTTTCACCTAAAACTAATCAGTACCATTCCCAACTAATATCTTTCAAACAGTTTTTGATTTTTAAAATCGATTCGGTAGAAAGAGCTTAAATGTGGACGAAAAGATTAACACTTTTTTCCAAATTTCAAAGAAACGGCTCGGCCGATCGTCGCACAAAAGTGACAAGCGATAATCCTCATTGAGGCACATCAAATTGTTTTTAAATTTCTGAAATCAGTTCAGGCGTTTTTGAGCAATCGTCGATGAAAAGTCTAATTTTGACAAATGCCAAAAAAACGATACTAATTTTTGCAAACTTTGTCGAATTTTTAAAGCTAAACGAGTTGTCGTAAAGCCATAATATTTTAGTATGATCTAGAAGACTATGGTATCTACCGTCAAAAAAAATAATGAAAATCGTCGAAAAAATTTGTTTTAACACTTTATTACAAGAAAACGGCCCGGTGGATTTTCTGCAAAAACTAATTAGCACGATTCGAAACCAATATCTTTCGAACGGTTTTTGAATTTTCAAAATCGATTCAGAATTGCGGGCTAGAACGTAGACGAAAATTTTTTCACTTTTCCGCAATTTACAAAGAAACGGCTCGGCCGATCGTCGCACAAAACTCAGAAACGCTAGTCCTCGTCGAGATACATCGAATGGCTTTTCAATTTTTGAAATCGTTCTAGCCGTTTCTGAGAAATCGTCGATTTACGGCAAAAAATCTGTTCACATACACATACACACACATGCTTTTTTCAAAATTTGGTCTCATTCGATTCAGAATGGCTTGAAACGTCGAGAAAATATACAATTAGCGAATCGGAACATTAGCGGATGAAATCATAAACTTCTCTTTCGGTAAGTTAATTAGTGGTGCAAAGCATCGTGCCTTAAGGCAAATTGCTGGAACTTCCTGTACCGTAATAAAATATTTGAGGAATATTAAATGTTCTCGATTATTATAAATGCTGTAACTTTATTCGTATTTTGTAGACGAAATATAAGAGCTTGATCTTGATGCTTATTTA